CACACACACACACACACACGCGCGCGCGCACACACACACACACACACACACACACACACACTATCAGTTTTAGGTATGTTTGTTTTTCCTCTTTCTCCTATTTTTTCGTACTTTTATGTCTCTAGACGATCACCCTCTAGCAGTGCCAAACAGTTGGTGGGTCCTCGTTTGGAGTGCCTACTGCACTCTTAGGGGGGTCGCTTGGTTCGGGATGTCTGTCTCCCCTGTGGGTGATGACGGATGGTCGTTGGAGTGTCTCCCTGGCTCGGTGGGTGGTGGGAACAAACAGTCTGCGGGGTTAACTTGTGATGTGAGTAGGTCATGTGCCGCTTTGCTCCGTGTTGAATGTGTAGACCGTTACTGTCTTGTCTGCGCTCTGCTTCTGCCTTGCTGTCCGTTCCGCTTGCTTCGCAGGTCTTCCTCGCTGCTCTGCTGCCTTGCCGCCTGTCTGCGGACCGTACCTCCCATGTCTTTTGCTCACATGCCTTGTGGTCTGGTGGCCTTGTGGTGGTGCCTTGCGCATAACTGCACAGTTGCTGAGCTGCTTGTCTGCGTACCCTTTCGGCCTTCAGTGTCCTTTGCTTGCATGCCTTGTAGTTTGGTTGCCTTGTTGGTGTTGCCTTGTGCTTCACTGCACAATTGCCGAGCTGCTTATCTGCTTGCCCTGTTGGCCTTCCGCATCCTTTACTTACTTGCTTGCATGCCTTGTAGTCTGGTCGCCTTGCTGATGTTGCATTGCACTTAACCGCACGGTTGCCGAGCTGTTCGTCCGCTTGCCCTGTTGTTCCTTGCAATCGTCTTTGGTGATAAGCAGTTGGGCTGCCTCTACGGCGTTGCCTGGTGCTCCACAGGGTTGCTGCCCACTGATATGTCCCGGTTGGGGACAGTCTGCCTTCAACATGGGTCAACGGGTTCATGACCCAAACCATCAAATACGGAGATTCCACAGATTGTCGAGGGTTCAGCCTCCTGATGAGTCGGTGCAACTCTGACGAAACAATTTCTTTTTTTTTGGGGGGGGGACAAGGCCCCAATCTATTCGTGGGGAGCAGCACGTGCTGGGAACCGGGCCCAGCGTCCCATATGAGAATTTACATCGGATTTGAAAGTTTGAGATACCGGGGCCATTACCCGGCTTTGGCTGAGAGAATTTGAGAGAATTTTGAGCTACTTAGAAAATTACTACGACAGACTACAGAAAAAGGTCTACCCACAACAAAACACGCCACCACAGAGGTCCCACAAATGCTCAAAACCCTGTGGATCCCTAGCAACCCTTCTAAAGCTCTCCAGCACTGTCTTACTCCCTGCCGAGCTCTTCCAGGCCTCACACCCCCACCCTGCTGGGTTATAGGGCAACATGACTCGCCCCAGCTCCGGCCGGCGTCGTCCCAGCAACAACCCTTGGTTGTCCCTTGGAATGCCCACCCCGAAGCATCCCCAGATCTCTCTACCAGGCCTCACTCCCTGCAGTATGAATATCGAAATCCCCTTTCGTATTACTGACCACGAGTGCCTGAGGGATAATGAATTCCGGGAGCATTGGGAGCACACGTGTTTGTCCACACGATCAAGGGCGGAACCTCCGGAATTTCCCTACGTAACAGGGAACAAACGTATTAAATTTTGCGAGTGGGATATTGACCAGGCCTTGGGACGTATCGCCCATCTCCCCGGCTGCCCTAGCTCATACACGTGTCACGTCGTCGCGGAACCTGGAATCATTATCCTGGGGACCCGAATTCCCTCCCTATCACCGCATCTTGCCCTTTCACTCCCTGACCATCGTCCCTTGGCGCGCAATCGCTCCCTACTGGCTCCAACCCCCGTGCTCGGAGTGCCTGCAAGACCACGATTATCGAGCCTCCGGCTTCATCTGACGAACTTGCTCGGAGGAAGAACGACGGGAGCACAACCTTCGGCTGAGGACGGCCGTGTCGGATTCTGAGACCTGCGACCTTCGACATCAGTAGGTGATCAGCCAGTAAGATAGCCATAGCGTCCCGGCGGTACACCAGATACGAGTCCGACCTAGACGACGGAACCAGTGGAGGCGGTAGCTCCGCTCTCCAAAGCATAAAACAGGACTTCGACCCGCGCCTACCCTCTTGCATGCGTATCCCTGAAACTTGTCATAGGAGATCTCATTTCCGACCTGGGACTCCACCCCCACTTTCCTAAAATCCTTGGCACATCCCCTTTTCGCACTTCCAGGCCCACTCTCACTCCGATCAGGAAGTTGCGTCGGGCATGAGGTTGGGGCGTCACAACTCCACCACTCCTCCCGACTTTGCCGCTTCTCCTGACTCCGCTGCTCCTCCCCTTCCGCCATTGCTCCCCGCTCCTCCCCAACTCCGCCACTCCTCCTGACTTTGTCGCTCCTGCCAACTCTGTTGTTCCTCCCCCGTCCGCCGCTCCTCCACTTCCGTCGTTGTTCCCCCGTCCGCCGCCCCTCCTGACTCAGCAGCTCCTCCCGACTCTACCGCTCCTACCGACTCCGCCACTCCTCCCGACTCTGCCGCTCCTCCCGACTCCGCCGCTCCTCCCGACTCCGCCGCTGCTCCCGACTTCGCCGCTCCTCCCCCACCCGTCGCTCCTCCCTCGTCCGCTGCTCCTCCCCTTCTGTCGCTGCTCCCCCGCCCGCTGCTCCTCCCCGTCCGTCGCTCCTCTTCCGCCGCTGCTCCCCTGTCTGCCTCTCCTCCCCTTCCGCAGCTCCTCCCCTTTCGCCACTTCTCCCCTGTCTGCCCCCTCCACCGCTCCTCCCGTCTCCGCCACTCCTCCCAACTTTGTCGCTCCTCCTGACTCCGCCGCTCCTCCCCCGTCCGCCGCTCCTCCTTACTCTGGCCCTAGGTGTTCTATTCTATTTGGGTGAAGACGTATTCATCATGTAGTCACAATGTCACATCATGGGTCTCGCTCCACTACACTAGACTCTCGAAAATTTGAGAGTTATGCCTCGCTCCACTTACACTAGACAAACCTCTTAAAAATGTGTGTCTAGTGTTGTTAGAAAATGCTCCAGACCCGCAGTCTCAACTCCTCTAGAGTGCCCAAGCCGGTGGCGCCCGTTTCCTCTAGGGTCCTCCATTCTGGTCTTGAAACGGCGCTGAAGTGCGCGAGTCTATCGCAAGTTTGGGTGGACAAACCAGGCTGGCGGTGTGGCATTGTGGAATGGGACGAACCAGACTGGACTCTCGACTGTTCAAGTGTGCCTCTAGAATAGCACCCTAGAGTCTGACAACACTTGACGAACTCTAAACTTTTGTCTAGGGTCAAGTGTAGTCGAGCGAGACCCCATGGCGCACAGTACTGAACGTGCACTGTGACACTTTTTCATGCTGACCTTCTGGGTGAGAATTAAGCCAATTGAATGCGAAGAGGAAACACCAGATGCAGCAAATCAACGACACGGGAAATGCAATGAAAGCTCATGCTTTTACGAGTATCATGGTTTCAGTTAAAAGAGTAGAGATTTAGATTAGCTCATACTTCTCAAAAAGTTAACTTAGAAAGACAGCTTTCCGGTTGTACTCCACAGTCCTAGTTTGAGGATTTTTTTAACCTAGGTGGGACCATGGGGGTCCACAGCAAAAAGATCAGTTTTCTCTTGAACGGTGGACAGGCCGCTACTTTTGGAACAGTCACGGATTCGTGGCAGAGCGAAGTCCACAGCTAATGAAAACTACCTACTTTAAAGGCGGGGGGGACCCCGTCTCGTTTCCCAAGTATTCTCCTAAAAGATGGCTCGTTTCCCAAGTATTATCCTAAAAGATGGGTCAGTGCGTAGTAGGACCATGTATTCCGTCCATTTGAAAAACATGTCCACAATTCACCAGTTGTAACGGAGGGTGCCATGTTCATAATGGCGCCGCTCATTGTTCCCTGTGGAGCCCCGTGAAAATTTACGAGGTTCTACATACTGACTTGAAGTTAAAAAAAAAAAAAAACAACTCAAACTAGGACTGTGGAGCACAACCCTTCATCTCAGGATGCAGCCCATTCATCCATTTTCTAGTGGCATGAGCACTAACACGTCGTGTCCACAATCCTGCCTGTGCATGACACAGTGAGGACATACTCACACTGGCACTTTCCTGAACGTATCTGACCGCAGTTACGGCCAGGGCCGGGATGAATGTGACCGCTATCACGTCCACAGCCTAGTAGAAAAAGTGTTTAGCCTAGTGTGCATATGGCTTGACACACACCAACTTGAACAAAAGATTTTCAAGCTCCCCACCAATAGATGGAGCCTTCAACGCTGGGCCCCACTTAACGGGGCTGCTCTAAAAAAAATAATAAATAAATAAATAAAAAGAGAGTTGAAAGGGGGCAAAACTGCAAATGCTACTATTCATCATCATGTGACAGCATCATCATTAAGTTACATTAACACCTCATGATTTTGTGGACAAATGTATGAAGGGACGCTGGACCCCCTTTCCAGCAGGTGCTTCTTCCCACCAATAGATGGAGCCATCCAAAATTGGGTCTGCTAATGGTGGATGCTCCTATCACCTCCATTAGCACTATCCACGACAGGGGGATGTTTTGAAAAGAAAAATTACAAAAAAAAAAAAAAAGTTCCTTCTTGAAGTTCCCTAACAACTTAACACGCAAATTTATACTGAAAATGCCTGCCATATGGTTCTCAAAAGATGACAAACACAGCCTTACACAAAAGAGGGTGCCTTGGCCCTTGGCCAAGTTGGCCAGGCTAACGGGGTACAAGGCCCTCCGTATTCTCATGGTGTGTTTTCGGCAACAGTCTGATGGAACGAAGTAATGACTGAGGGTATCCCGACAGTACAACAGTTATGACTGGATGTGGCCTTTGTCGGACCGACAGCGGACCGTAACTGCTGCCGACCGGACATGTGCCTATATATAGCAACGGGATTTGCCCCCTTGCCTTTTGCGATTTTGGTTTCATTTACAGGCTTCGTAAATTTTTATGTACAGGCTTTGTAAGTTTTATTTTATTTTATTTTATTTTATTCAATTTACAGGCTTTGTAAGTTTTATTTTATTTTATTTTATGTTTTCCCGCCTAGAACTAGCTTAGGATTGGCCGAGAAAATTCACGTCTTTTCTGAAATCTGTTCTCGGGCCTGGAGGCAATGTAGGCAGAGACACGAGAGGAAGTACCTGGTAGCTGAGATCTGATATAAGTAAACAAGAGGCAAGGCGGAAGGCCTCTTTTCGACAAAAGTGCGTGATGCACGCCTTCCTGATGATTCTGCGTAGCATGCGGATGAAACCGGTACAAGGATATGCTGTGTCGTTTTCATAGGGAGATCCTGCTATGGTGACATGGGATGTACTATGTATGAAGTGTGACGTGGGATGTACCAGTGTCTGGTCCGGTAGGTCTGGATTGGGCCCAATTTTGAAAAATTCGATTTTTTTTTGGGGGGGGCCTAGGACGTATTTCGGGTCCTAGGCCACCCCCCAAAAATGCCCCTGGTATTTTTTGGCCGTTTCAGGGCCTACCGGACGTCACCAGACACTACCAACAGCTCCCTCTGCTGTTGTTCTACGCTGGTAGTTCATCGGATGAGGATGAGTCTGATTCCAAAAATAAAGCGCTGGCTGCAAAGCACCACAGGACATCAAGCTAGAGAGAGAGAGAGAGAGAGAGAGAGAGAGCGAGAGAGAGAGAGAGAGAGAGAGAGAGAGAGAGAGAGAGAGAGAGAGAGAGAGANTTTTGGTCAGATCTGAGATCCCGTCTTAGATCTGGTCCTGACCAGATCTCAGATCTGTTCTTAGTACATCTTACATAGATCTGAATAACTTAACAGTTTAAATTTTCAGTTTTCATATGAATATGAATTAGAAAGTCTAACTTCAAAGTTCAAAGTTCTGTTTTTCTCTGATTTCCGTACTCTTTTCTGAAGTGAACTGGGATTGGTCTGTTGAGAACTGGTTTCAACTTTCTAGTGTTTCTCACTTTTTTGGGGGTTGAACCCGAGGGTACTACCTTTTCTTGTGAGCTTTGTCGTGATGGTGCCCGCGTGTTTGTCCATTTTCTTTTGTAGCTTCTAAGTATGCAGAGTGCGTATCCTGTGTTACCCTGTCTCCCGAAGGACTGTTGCCGCAGTCTGCCCAAAAGAAGTCACCACAAGCTAGGCTGTTTTTTTTCCGGGCGCCCGGGCACCCAACTTGTGCTCGGATACACGCCCAGGTGCCCCGGCCGGGCAGGACAATCTTCCGAGACCACAAACACGCAAACCAACTTGGCAACGTAGTCCTAAGGCTGACAAACACAACCCTTTTTTGAAAAAAGAAAACGTATTTCTGGCTGCCTAGTGCAGGGAGGGATAAGAGCATGGCAACCGGCCGGACGTCTGGACCGGAATCTAGACGGCCCGGTTGTCTGGGTATCAAGTGTCTGGGCCTCGGTCCAGACATGTCCGGGTCCGGGTCCGCGGTTGCCATGGATAAGAGTCCTTGGCTGTTGTAGGTGCCAGCAGGCAGACGGGGCCAGTCTCATTCTTCGGGAGAGGCACGTGCTGGGAACCGGGCCCAGCGTCCCATAAACACAACCAAGAGTATTATACCACATCCCTCTTGATTATCCCACAGCTGACAAACACAGCCTTAGGAAAACAAGACACCACAATGAAGTGGGAATAGCAGGGTAATCAATGCTGGCAGAACCCACAGATATCTTTTTTCTGGGACGCTGGACCCGGTTTCCAGCAGGTGACGCTCCCCACCAATAGATGGAGCTTTTTTTTTTAAAAAAAAAAAAAAAAAAAAAAAAAAGACACCACAATGAAGCATAGTCTGGCAATGCCCTCCTTTTTCCTTTTTTTTTATTAAAAAAAAACGGGCCCAGTGCCCAAGGCTGATATTACTGATGAAAGATATTGAGGCCGGGGTCCACAGTCTACCCGGAGAAACGAAACCGCGATTGCTGAGAACCGGGCTCAGCGTCCCTTATGTTGATGACCGAGATCGTAATGATGAAAAACGTAGAATTTGAAAGTTTAAGGTGCCGGAGCCATTACCCGGCTTTGGCTATGAAAACTTCTAGGCTACTCAGAATTTTACTTCGACAAAATTCAGGAAAATCAGTCTGCTACAACAAAAAGCGCCACCACAGAAGTCCACAAACGCTCAGAAATCTACGAATCCCTAGCAACCCATCTGAGCTTTCCAACACTGACAAACTCCCTGCTGAGCTCTTCCAGGTCTTGCACCCCCACCCTGCTGGGTTACAGGGTGACACGACTCACCCCAGCTCCGACCAGCGTCGTCTCAGCAGCAACCCTTGGTTGTCCCTTAGAATGCCCCCCAAAGCATCCCCAGATCTCTCTACCAAGCCTCACGCTCCTGCATCGGATTCCGCAGGTTACAGGGCAATGCCCCAACACCGGCCAGCGTCGTTCTGGCATCAAACACTCCGCAGGTCACTGAGTACATCAGCAATGAATCATCTAAGCTGGGTTATTAGAGGTCCCCAGATTCCTAAAACACTCTTAAGACCCTCGTTGGTAACACCAGCAGACCTTTAGATCTAGATTCCTAAGGTAATCCCTAGCCTTCCTTTCCCCGGGACATACTTACTCAGCGACAGTACCCACCATACTGACATCACCCATAGCTGATCTCTTCTCGCCACCACGCAGCCCCCCCCGGTTCGCCACTGGATTGCCTTCCACCCTCGGCAAACCCCAGATCTCTCTACAAGACCTCATACTCCTGCGAATTGCAGGTCACAGGGCAATGCCCCAGCTCCGGCCAGCGTCGTTCTGGCATCGGCAAAACACACAGAACAGAGCAACTCTGCGGATATCAGTCCCAGTTGCAAGTAAAAACTAAATACTACCCAGGTGGGCTGCAGTCGTTTACAAAAACACATACCAGCAAAAAAGAAAAAAAGAAAAAAAGAGCTGCTCCAGTGGTCAGTGGCCAGGCCAGCATGATGGGGTGAGATATTGCAGCCCAATAACCCGTGCCATGTGGGGGTGTGAGGGCTGGTAGAGATCTGGAAAAGAGGTATTAACGACAAATGGTTGGTTGGGCTTGTAACTTTAAATTGTATCCTTTTTTCCTTAAAAAAAAAATAAAAAAAATCTGACCTCGGGCTGCTCGAGGAAGTGGTAAAAGCAGCTTCCTCTGGTAGCCTGTTGTCAGTTGCTCCTGTCCATTGGTGGGGAGCCACACATGCTGGGAAGCGGGCCTACCGTCCCTGTTACATATGAAAACCAGAGTTTTCTGCATGCGGTACCAGGTCCCTCGCTCGGA